AATTTCTTCTTATTTCTACAGCTTGAGCTGCCAATGAACATTTAGGGCTTTTCTTGTAAATTCTGTAACTTTGTAAAGAAAGGTCGGGTAGAGCTGGGAGATGTCTCATTTTAATCAGAAATGTGCAGGCTATAATTATTCCTCACTATGAAAGGTTTTGATTATTTTTAGAATTTCTGAAAAACTGGTCTTGCAGAAAACTGAGCCTTCAAGAGCCATGCGCAAAAATCCTTTTAGACTTTTTATCAGCTCGATGTGCTCTATAAAACGAGGTATGAATGAAGGAAATCAGAGTTGGGCACCTGGGGCGGTTCCCTCGTCAGTAAGTAATGATACTGTCTAAGAATATGAAAACAATTTCTGAAAAACTGATTTCTCAGAAAACAGGGTCTTCAGGAGCCATGGGCCTGAATCCTTTTAGGTTTTTAATTAGCTCACTATTCTCTATCGATCGACATAGGTTTGAAAAAAATCGGAATTGGGCAGTTGGAAATGTTCCCTCGTTAGTAAATAGTGCTGAGCTTTTTGTCAACGCAGACTGCAGCTACGAAAAGTTTTCGAAAAATAATCGCAGTTTTATCTTTATGAGACAGGATGTCCTTACTTGGTAAGCACTTACTTTTAGTAAGGAAGGACTGCTATGCTTTTCTTCAATGCAGACTCAAAAGAAATAATTTGAAAAGTTTCTGTCCAAAGCAGAATTTTTTTTCATTAAGCATTTGCTGTAAGTACTGTATCCCGTATATAATCACCAAGTAAGTACTGCATTCAGAATTTTTTCAGTTATGAAGATGATCCAGTCATACACCAACCAAAGCGCCAAAAACCAACATCAACGTCACGTCGTTCACCTACTGGTACCCGTTAAAACACAAAACGTAAAAAAAAGACATAAACTCGTCATCATCATCATCATCACTCGGCTGCTCTCGAATAGGCGACCACTTGTGCATATTATGAAGATGTGTTAATTAGTTTGTTTCTTGTTTATTGAAAAATAAAATTATCTTTTACAGAAAACAAGTTTGATACAGATACAGTCTAACAAAAGCAAGAATAGCAAGTTTCGACCATTCATTATTATAGTAATTGATTGGTGTCAGTTTTGATAGTCTTTTGGTTTTTGTTCTTCTAGTATGAATTCTTAACAATTAATTCTAAAATAGAAAGATAATAGCAATACCAAACAGTCTAGTCAGCTATGAAACAGATTATGCTAACCTCATAGAAGCAGACCATTTTTGTACCTTATTAAATATTTTTCTATTTGAATAAAACAATTTTATATTTTTTTCGTTCCCAGGCGAAAAAGTTTAATATTTTTCTATATGACCAATAACAGCTTTAATATTTATCTTTTTTCAAAAAATACATAAATATTTTTCTATCTTACAGCAAGAAAAATATTCAGTTGATTTTTAGTATTAGTCGTTTAATATTTTTCTTTTTAACTTTTTTCGGTATACCCATTCATTCAATAAGCTATTCAGAAAAAAAAATTGGACCGATTCTGTTCAGCGTATAAAAAGTCGATTTTACGATAATGGCTGAATCCACATAAATCGTGCGTGATTGAGACTGCAGAAAATATTTTTATATACAGCTAACCAGCGAAATATCTGTTCGCACACTTCGGTGTTCACAGTACGTATAAATGAGTGTTTATGTAGATTCATATGATGGAGACACCAAGGATCTGTATGATTTTTATGATGGAACTTATCTACGGTAAAATCGCTTCTCTTATTTTGTTCATGATAAACGGACGTTAGTTGTGTTCTCTTACTAAACCATACGTTTCCTTGCATTTAAATGAGTCGTAACAGCGAAGGTTGCAAAAAATTAAGAAGAACGAATATCGTATTAAGAAACAAAATGAGTAATTCAACTGCACCATCCTTATAGTCATCTACATCATCTATCAATCCAGCTGATAATGATCAATTAACAGCACTCATTAAGGATACGATATCTTCACAGAATTTTCTTAGTGATCTACACAACTTAATTGCAAACAATTCACTCATTAGTGAATTATGTCGTCAAATTACGTCATCGCCAATATTTGTTCAATTAATCTCAACTCTGGTCTCATCAAAAATAATACACTGTGGAAAACAAATTGAAAAATTACAATCAACCGTTGATGAACTTGATAACACCGTGACAGAGCTTTATGAATATGTTAATCAATTAGAAATGAGATATAATGAATTAGAACAATATAATAAACGAAAAAATTTGATCATCCATGGGATTCCTGAAACATTAAATGAACATACTGATAAAATTGCTGTGGATATTGCTAAATCGATCGATCATTCATTGGATGAAAAATCAATTTATGCATCACATCGATTACCAACTAGCAATAAAAATATTCCTGGATCAATTGTAGTTGGTCTTTTACGTTATTCTGATCGGCAAGCAAGCATTAAAAATCGACAGAAATTACGTGCATACCAATGTTATAAAAATGTATTTATCGTCATTTAATAATCAGCTATTTCAATATGCACGACAAAATCTAAATAAACGTGGTATTCAAACAAGAAACGGCAATATCTTCTACATTGACTCGAACAATGAAAAGCATAGAATTCAATCGTTCTCAGATATTGATAAATTGACTTGCACACAGCACACAGGTTAGTATGATACTAACACTCATTATTCTGTTCCCTTCGTTGTTCCCTATTGCTATGCATAATTCTCGCAAAAACCTACAGTACGGTTCAGCCCTGTTGTTGTGTTTTATTACATATAATAACTTTACTCTTGTACACTGTTATTATTGTTGTCCTCCTTCTTTGTGAAACTTGATCTTCTTCTGCTGTTTGTTAATACAGAGAACTGTAGACGTTCACGGACAGTTTTTTATTCTCTTTATACGAAGAAATTCTGTTTTATTTCTTCTATTCAGAAAACATATGATTGTTCTCTCTCTATTGTTGTTTTTCTCTTCTTTATTTGCTATTTTTCATTTTCTTCTAGTCCGTCCACTGACTATTTTTCTCCGCATTCTTCCCTCTTCTTCTCGCTAACATGTTTCATAGAGTTACAGGGGTTTATACCGTATATCTGTCACGTGAGTGTAAATGATCATGGCTAGATCGAGTAAAAAACCAGCTGATGTTAGTATGACAGACCCAATGTTCTGAATATGAGGAGTATATCGGCAAAATCCTACAAAGACTCGAAAAGTACTATGACGAAGTTTGATCTTCTATCTGCAGTGTGTAGTGAGTCAAAATCTTCCTTCATTGCTGTAACAGAAATGTGGCTTGACTCAATGATGATATTGCTATAAACGGTTATAAATTAGAACGATTTGACAGAGAGGGCGGTGAAAGTTTACTCTATTATCAAGAACACTTGATAGTTAGGCGTCTCTCGATTATGGAAGATAAAGGTTATATAGCTTTTACTAAAAAGTCAAAAACAAGGGAGTTCTTGTGATTATGACACACTGTACTGCTTAGATAACATCCAAAAGCTTCTTTTCCATATCTTTAATGACTGACGCCACCTGTCTGGATATTGTGACCAACTCACTTTGTAGAGAATTTCAAGGGCTATCCAACGGTATGCTTTCGACAAATACATAATTTTCCGTTATGGCACAAAAATGACTAACGGAGTGTTCAAAGCACTAAGATAGATGAAAATCATTATATCGGCCAAGTATTTTAACTATTGACCAATGTGGGCATATTTTTGAAAGACTTATTCATAGCTCATTTTGAAGCTCATGAAATTGTCTATCGAATGGCAAATAAAGTGGAGTAATTCACGAGAAAATCAATGGCTATTATAAACATGAACGACGTTGACCTACCGGTTAGCTGACATCCTACCGAGTATTTCGGAGCCTAGCCTACCCAGTTACAATTTCTTAAGAATATCTTATACGTCATTATGAAGCCCGTGAAATTCTCTATCGCATGATGTATAAAGTGGAGTGGTTAGCGGGAAGATTAGTCACTGTTAAAGAGATGAACGACGTTGACCTACCGGTTTCCTGGGATTCTACCGAGTATTTCGAGTGTTAGACTACCAAATTACATTTTTCTTAAGATTGTCTTATAATCATTTTGTAGTCCGCGAAATTCTCCACCAAATGACATATGAAGTAGAGTGGTTAACGAGAAAATAAGTCATCATTATAAACATGAACCACGTTGACCTACCTGTTTCCTGAGATGCCACCGAGTATTTCGGATCTTAGAATACTCAGTTACAGTATCTTAAGGCTAGCTCGTATATCATTTTGTTGCTCGTGAAATTCTGCATCGAGCGGTGTATAACAGTTGATATTTGCTCTGGGTGAAACAGGTTGAACAATGTAAACACTTTGAGTAAACGTCGACACGAGACGACTTAATACGAGAAGAGTCTTTTTTGCTAAGAGGCTTCCAGAGGCTCTGAGAAGGATTTTTAAGACTTAAAAATATGTTAGCTTAAATCGTGGACAAAAACTGCATCAGATGAGTTAATATAAGACTGATTTGAGCGTGGACAGATTTTGCCTCTTATCGTCCCCCGTCCTTTGTAAAAGATATCACCATAAATAAAAAAGACAGTGCTTTCAGCAATGACGTGTATAGTCTACTAGCTAAAGGCATTTATGCACAGACCCATTTTTGGTCCGCATCACTCGTCGTTTTCAACTTTTTTTCGTGACCTAGTAGGGCTGCTACATTACTATTACTAGTAATAAGTAATAACAAAAGCGTTATTACTTATTACCAAGTAACAAGTAATAAATTTCAAAAGTAGTAAAAGTGATAAATGATAAGGTAATAACTGTTATTATCTTATTGCTTGGTAATAAGTAATAACTATTATTACTTATTACCAAGTAATAAGTATTAACTACAAAAAGTAATAAAAGTAATAAAAAGTAATAAGAAAATAAAAAGACGATAGAAAATATTTTTAATCATCAATTGGATTTCGGTTCTCACATTGAGACATTAACACAATATCGAAACTTATTTT